CAAAAGCCGGCTGGATTCGTTCTTTGTCTATAATGCCTTCAGTACACACCTGGGCACACACATAGGCGAGGTAGAGAAGGGATTGCCTGAGGTGGCCCTACCTACACCTCTAAACTAGCAGCGTCACCCAGTCAGGTCACCTCATCTTTGAGTTGGTTCATCTATAAAGATGATAATAGTTGCTACAGAAGACGCTCAGTTTCCCCCAGTTTAAAAGAAAGCCTTTGAAGTTTCCGAGCTCCTTCTGAAGGAAATGGCATGCCGTGCACAAATCACCCATTTCTAGGTTTCATTTCCTTCCATAACATCAGACCAGAACTAGCTACCCTTTCCAAAACCCCCTAATGCCCCCACCATTCTATTGATTTTTAAGGGAACACTTCATCAAAAAACATCTAGTTCTTTCATTTTCAGCTTTTAAAATAAGAACTAGGAAGAAGTAACTTTTGCTTCATTGCCGTTACACGGGTGTTTTTAATCCTATCGACGTTTTAGTGAAAACATTTATTAGTATATAGTCATTAAATTTCCATTAATAATTGATCTTCCAAAGCATATTATCCTTGTGCATAGGAAATCGGGTGGGCGTTTCTGGTTGTATTTTGAAAAGAATTATAGCCACTTTTAAAAAGGTGCATTCCCCCTGTGTTAAATATGACAAGACTTCAATAAATGCCTATTATCAGAGAATGCATCTTTCAATTATATCTGCATCGTGGTTAGACCTCACCCTCACTCCTTGTCCCAGCAAAGCCTACACTCGGTACCATTTAACACTCCTTTGACCTCTACCAACTTGGTATTTTGAAGCAAAGTGTTTAAAATTTGAAGTAGTCTTAGACGACAACAGAAATTCAGGTACACGTGGTATTAGATCCGAAGCATTACACTTGTTTTATTTTAATCTCTTAGGCGATTTAAAGTATTTTTAGCAAAAACTAAGCTAGATCCTATCATTCTGTGGGGGGTTGTCCATTGTTTTATCTGCACTTTGATTCTCAAGGCAGCATCTTTACCATGATGTAGATGAACGTAGATTCAAAAAAAGTATCAAAAGGCAAAATGCGCACATAATTCGGAGGAGAGGACCTCAGGGAGGAGAGAGGGCAAGTGATCTCCCTTTTCTGACATGTGCCCGAAAGGCTCACATGAGAACGCTCTAAGATCCGTGAGACAGGGTACTTTTCAATGACCGGCAAAGTCTCACGGGGTACAGCGTAGACAATAAAAGATCACTCTCTAAAGACATTGGTTCAGCAGCAGAGATCACCCGAAGACAGAAATCCCCACACAAAACCCAACAGAAACACGAGCAGACGAGAGCAGAACTCACGTTCCATTCCTCTCCAAAGTTCAGAAGATGCGCGGTAAGCCAACCTCGTTTGAAACCTGCTACAGAATAGCCCACATGCATTCCCCCCACCCCACCCCCAGACGTGAACCGTGATCTTCTGTCTCAAGCATGCGGTGGAACCTACTTTGTCTTCCGCTGCACAGAGAGGAAGACTCCTTCTTCCCCCAGCTGATGAAAGAGCAAAGTGAAAGATTGGCACAAAGCCACCTACCATTGTCACTGTGTCCTTCCGACGGAAGGCTGTAGCTACGGCTGTCCCAGGTCTGTGCCTGTGTACGTTTGTTGGACGAGATAGGGGGAAGAGGGAGGGCTGGGTCAGCGGGGAAGCCAGAGAGCCGGTCCACACAGAGGTGCACAAGGACCAGGACAAACCACAGGGGCGGCAGCATTGCACACAGCACATGGGGGTGGTATGGAAATGGCGTGGATTTCGTTTACATGGGATTCATTTCAAATGTACAATATAGGGGAGAAAATGGGAGATGGTGCACGGAATAAAAAGAATGATAAAATTGAGTATTAGTACTTATCAATCATAGACTCTGCATGCAGTTAATATTGTTAATCATAACAATCGCGCCTATCCACTGATTTAGAGTATTGATGAAAGGCGTCAGTTAGCAGAAAGAAATAGCACCCAGAGACTACGTAGGTAACAAGTAAAAGAGCTACGAGATTCCCTTTTTAAAGCCTTTCCAAATAACTAACATTCTTGGCAATTAGTTTCACACAAGTTTGGTTACAATAGATAATGCTTAATATAGGTATAAATATTTCTATTATTAAAAAACAAAACTAGTACAGATTCTGTATTTATCACTCGTGATTTCTTTTTGCCCTAATGTAAATGCCTTTTTAAAGACACCTGTAAGTCTACTGGCATGTTTTATTGGTAACTGAATCTAGACAGCTCTTTCCTTAAGCCTCTGACACAGAATTCTCAATACTGTCACTGATATTAGTCAATATAAAAACAACTTTGACACGGTAGCGTATTTTTAACAACATATCCAGTTGGCCAATAGATGTCCATCAATTTCAATTTTTTTTGAGCTGGTCATTTATAAAAGGTCACATCTCTTTAATGGATTAGATATACATTTTATGTGCTTAGGAGATACCTAGTATAATTTTTGATTCAATCAAAAAGCAGGGCTAGTCAAGTAAATACATGTACTTTTAAGGATAATACTTGAACATGTACAATTTTCTTTCTTTGGGGGGAAATAAAAGAACACCCAAAAAGTTTCTTTAAAGAAAATTATCAATTAACTTTAAGAATCTAAGATCTTCTAGTTTCCTGTCTTTATTTATAACACAGAAATTGCATAAATTCACACTCACATGTTGCATATCAAGATAAAAATTGACCTTCAAAAGTTTCAGAGTTACTTGATCAAAAGTTATGATCCCCACTTAAGATTACTGTACATATATTATTTCCTAGAAAATGTAAAAAATACTGTAAAGTTTAAAATAACTAGATAAAACAATGCCTAGTAGATCATTCTAGTTTTATAAAAATTCCAATGTTTTACCGGATGGCCCTTCAGACACATTAGTCTTATTTAGAGCCACAAAGGAGAACGAGCTTTCAAAATCCAGTAACAATTTCCACCTCAACCAGCATTCTATAAAGGTGGGAAGCTTGGAGAGGAAAGGATCTTTGTTTTCTTCTGTGTAAGAGACAGACTCCCTTTATTTTCACCACTATAAAGAATTCGAAATGGTTTGACAGCAAGTTCCCTGTAAGCCCTAACTTCGATGAGCAAATAAATTTGGACACTATAAAAGGAATGGAAATGCGATCATTTTATAAGTGAATTGCACAAAATACACCATCAAAAAGAATGCTGTGCTTTGGTGATTCATTCAACTTTTGGCCAACAGGAACCCATTCCTAAAGGGTGTGCCATGAACCGAGAGGTCAAGAGGACAGCGGCAGCACGGTGGGAGGCCCTCCCCGATGGAGACCACTCTGCAGCGCCCGACCGTTGATGGCCCAGCTGAGACATGCTCTGACGACGGGCTTCTGTCTGTCCCTCCAGCACAGGCTGCAGACGGCCAGTGCTCTAGCACATCTGCGCTTCAAGCATCACGGGCCCCTCCATGAAACACCTACTAGCCCGTGGAACACCCACACCTTTTCTCCAACGGCTTTACCTTCGAGGCCCCCTCAAAATCCTGGAAAACCAATCCACCTGGCCAGAATCAGTCCACTGGCTCCGGGGAAAAGTAAAAAAACAAAAAAATCTCTTCAAAAAGTCATTTTTGGCTACATGTTCTGTTATGTTTAGTTTCACGACAACCAACATAAATGAAAGAGCAAAACGATGAAAAAGAAAATAGTTTTTGTTCTCTTTCTCTGGGCATCTTTCTTCAAGATAGACATATGCATGGCTTCTGCCTTCTGCTGCTGTGCAAATGCTTGACTAGAAACCAAGACCACGTGCCATCTGTTCGCTCTGGCTTTCCAGTACCTGAGGCTTGTGGATAGAAGTCTCTTAAAAGCATCTGTACTGAATACAGGCTAACGAACTACAAAGCAAAACTATGAAAATAAAAAAAGAGCTAAAAAGAAGGCAAAGAGTACCAGAATTTGAAATAAATTTTTAAAATTATAAAACCAAACCAAACCACATTGCTATATACAGTCCTTCTCAAAATCAGTTCGTATTTTGCACACTGCTTTAATTTGCTTTTTGGCTATCCTAATATCAAAGTAAAAGAATATCGGTAGCATAAACAGTGTTTCCACAGAGCCCTCCTGACCCCTGACCACTCGACAGCCCTGTCGCCACCCCCCTGGTGTGCAGGCAGGAACATGGAACCCACACAGCTCGGAAAGCCCGCCCTCTCCCTGCACTATGCAGAGCCCCGGCATCAGGGGGCAAAGGGATGGCTGGGTGATCTTCTCTGGCCACAAGAGAGCGGTAAAATATTTCCTCTCCACTAAACGCAGGGACAAAGTTTAATCCTCCCAGAATCCAGGTGTCTGGGTTCCCCAGAGGTCAGCGCTGAATTCTTCTGAGCCAAGAGCCCCCGAGGGAACCCCCTTCCTAAAGTCACCTCGGAGACAAACGGTTGAGTAAAGATTTTTGCCTCGGGTCGGGATCTCGTGAGGAAGTTATCTATCTCTGTGCAGTCAGTTCTGAGAAAAGCCAAGGTCAGGTTGGAAGCTGTATTTAAGATGACCTGCTGGGATGTAAGCACCTTCTGGCTCTGTTTCCACGGCAACGTTGACACACTGGTCTATAAGAATGTGTGGCAGTTTTTCCTTCTCTGGAACATTTTTGAGCCCTAGTGAAAATGTTACCCTCACTAGCAAATAATATATTGAATAAACGCCCATGAATTGTTATAAGTGACTCAATGTGGCTCTTTTTGTTTTAACACATGCCCTACCGCTTTTCTTTTCTCGACTCGGATTCCAGAAGAGGTCGCCCAATTCTGATCATAGGAACTAAAGAGTTGAGTTGCCAAGAGCAAAGCTTCTAAATTTGGACACATCTCGAACTGTAGCACAGTTCTGATGCCAGGATTCGAACTTGACGCCACCCGAGTGGGGACTAAACGGATGCAGCTGAGGGGAGACCACACAGCTCTGGGATTTAAGTCGGAAGAACAGGTGCCCGTTGTGATTTACCTGATCGGGGCTTCAGGCCGAACGGAGCTGCGCTATTTGTGGTAGGAGAGACGGCAGGGGGATTCTCCCTCATCTAGAGTTGGAAGGAAAAGAGGTCAAAATCATTGGGGCCGACCACCCGGACACACTTGTCTATGTTCAAGGTCACCATGAAACCACGACCTTTTGGGATTAACGGCTGTGTGATGACGTCTGGCTAAAAGCTGTGACAGCAGATACGTCTTCACACTGCAGATGTCTCCAGTGGCAGACGATGTCTCGGGGAGGAGACGAGCCAGTCAGGGTGCGATGTAACAACGACGAGAAATACAACTTTCCTCTAATTCCTAAATGCTTCCTCCCCGCCCCCACTATCATGATACGAATTCGACCTTGCAAGTCTGGCTAGACCAGAGGATGTACACTGGTACAGATAGGAACTGGAAACACAGGGAATCCAGGGCGGATGAGCCCTACAGGACCAGTGGTGTGAGTGGCGAAACAGGAAGGGTAAAGGGAGAATGGGTAGGAAGGAGGGAACCGATTACAAGGAACTGTGTGTGACCTCCTCCCTGGGGGACAGACAACCGAAAAGTGGGTGAAGGGAGACGTCAGACAGGGCAAGATATGACAAAATACCCATTCATAAACTATCAAGGGCTCATGAGGGAGCGGGGAGCAGGGAGAGAGGGGAAAATGAGGACCTAATGTCGGGGGTTTAAGTGGAGAGAAAATGTTTTGAGAATGATGTACAAATGCGCTTTACACAATTGATGTGTGTATGGATTGCGATAACAGTTGTATGAGCCCCTAATAAAATGTTTTTTAAAAAATTTTAAAAAGTAATAAAACAAATCCACAATGTGGGGTTTTAGGAACACGTTACAAAAATGTTCTTTTAATTATTCAAAACTGGCCACCCTTCTTTGCCCCTCATACAGGCATACAGGTTTAAGTGTAGGTGTGAGCGTGTTTGAGCAGGTACAAGTCTGTCCCACCACGCACACCCATCAGGCACAAATGGAGAAGCCTCTTGTCACACTGGAGCCAAAGAAAATGCTAACCGTGAGCAGATGCCCCCTCCACAGGGACCACACAAAGGAGGGTCGTGGGTGACAAGGCATTCTACACTCAACGGTATCGGCACTGCTAGTTTCACCCCGTGGGTTTGTGGGACAAAGCCATGCTCCAATGGGGTCTCATGTTTGTTTTTTAAATCTAAATGTTTTATTTAAAAAGTAATCTTTCATTTTGGAAAGGGCTATAGAAGGCTTGGGAGAGGCAATGAGCATGAGGCGGATTCTGAGGGAATCGTTGATTCTGAACTCTTTCATCACAACAGTCTGAGAGTCAGTCTTTTTTGTAAAAGACATTGTAATTCAGCCACCATGAAACACCGCTGCCTCCTTTCACCTTCGGGAACTTACCTCATTCAGAGAACACTGGCTTCCATTACTCTGCGATGTTAAATCATTCTGTCCCTGAAAGGAAGAAAACCGTGCAAGGTATGAGCCACTGGGCGGTTATACTGCTATCACCCTGAGTCCCAACACTGAGCTGTTACACAGCTGGGCTGTCACCCTGAGTCCCAACACTGAGCTGTTACACTGCTGGTCTGTCACCCCGAGTCCCACCACTGAGCTGTTAACACTGCTGGTCTGTCACCCCAAGTCCCACCACTGAGCTGTTACACTGCTTGGCTGTCACCCTGAGTCCCACCATTGAGCTGTTACACTGCAGGTCTGTCACCCCGAGTCCCACTACTGAGCTGTTAACACTGCTGGGCTGTCACCCCGAGTCTCACCACTGAGCTGTTACACTGCTGGGCTGTCACCCCGAGTCCCACCGCTGAGCTGTTACACTGCTGGGCTGTCACCCCGAGTCCCACC